CAAGAATAATCGCTTGGAGCGTACGATTAGCAGATTGCACAACTGAGCCCATGGTCTGGATAACACAAATCCCCCTACCCGATTACAACATCGTGGCCTCCTCCTGGCCAAGACTTGAAAGTATACCCAGTGGTCCATTTGCATCTTTCACATGGCGTATCGAAGTTCGCGGACGCCTACCAGGCGACACATTTATTCTTGCCGCATTCTCGGGTGGAACAAGTACAGCAGTTGACCACGTTGAAGGCGTCCGACTGTTCTCCGACAAGTCGAGCAGCAAACTTGCATGTCAAGCGACTGACCATCCTTGGGAACACCCAATGCGAATGTACATACAGAAGCGAGGAAACAAATGTCAGGATTGATGAAGGATGAGAGATATCCTGTGATGTTGTAACGTGCGGCTCAAGTCGGTGAGGTTCAAGCCTGGAGAACGACGGTGATCTTCCCCTGCTAGCTCACTCGGCCCATCCTATCGGCGGATTGGAGAAGGCCTGTTAATAAGTGTGGAAATCTAATGTAGAGAGCATTTTGGATATCTCGAACATTCATGCCAGTTGAAAAAGCAGGCATACCAACGAAACAGCTTGCTTCTCCATGCAGGAATGCTCTTAGCATTTCATGCATCATTTATGAAGACATGCGAGCTTCATCGTCGTTGCGTGTGGGTAGGCATACCTGGGGCAGGAGCGCGTTGTTAGCTGCAGGCAGACACTTGACAAGCTCACAAGCTCAGACGGGCGCACAGGAAGAGATAGCGACCTGGCCACATGCATCGCTGAGAGTCACGATCCTTCAAGATCCCTGCAAACGATAAGCCACGTACCTTCTATTTGCAGTTCAGCCACAGGCGCTCCTAGTTCTTGCACGCTGGAACCTCTTGAGACAATACGTCTCCATTCTACATTGAGCTGGATTGAGTTGGCCAAATTCTTTTGGGACTTTAGCAAAAACGAAGCGACAGTTGGTCTTGCAAGGGCACCAGAAAGGTTGCAGGAAATCTGCCCAACAGGAGGATCGCCGTCGCATCATGAAGCACACCTTGCAGCCTCTTGATCTGCTGAAAGTTTGCACAAAATTGCTGCTCGGTGATCATCATGTGGACTTTCTCCGACACCAAGCGGGAGATCCGCCGCTGAGCGTTTACCTGTTGGTGTAAAATGCCCGCCGCTGAGTCACCATCATCTTCTTCTGCCTCTGAGGAGCCGACCGGCGTCAATTCGGAAATGTGCTCGCTAAAAGCACTGACCAGCTGCCTCCATGGGTCAGACCTGGCGGTGGGAGACCAGCTTGCGTTAAAGGGGATTGAATCAAGGTCGATGCTTGATCCAAATTGAAAGATTTCCGTCTTCTTGAAGGAAGAACAAGTGGGAACGATACTGTCGAATTCCAATGATGATGGGCCCGCAGCAGATGGGGAATGTATGATGATCCGACCTACACGTCAAGACACAAAGCGGGGCACTTGCAGCGCAAGATGGTCGATACGACAAATTTTGGAGAGTGGCAAGACGCAGTAAACGCTCCGTTCGTACCAATGTAAAATGGCCGGGAGGTAGCCGTATTGATCTATGCGAGTAGATACCAGCACCCCACTCCTCGGATCATTGCCATTTAGAGAATGGACGACGATCATGAGCATCCTGAGGAGCTTGTTGTCTGACTTGAAAAGAGTATTTGTGAAGCAGTCGGTGAACCGGATGCCTTGTTGATCGGCAAGCTATGTTATCGTCGAAAGCGTTTCCATACATCGTGAGTCTTTTCGATTCAATGGCGGGGCTATATCCTACAGTCTTCTCCTCGGTCATATCAACGTTGCTTGCAAGTGCTTCGTCACTAGGACGTGACGGTTCTCGGATCTCACGAGCAAAGTGTAAGAAGATCCAAGAGCAGACCGCCCAGCTCTTCTAGCTGCGCTACTGCAAATTGTCGCAGTAACATGACATCGACTTGAAAGCCGAGTAAACGTAGGGTGCACGTCGTCGGATCAAAGTCGACCGTCGCTACCGAGGATTCTTTTTCTTCATGGTAGCAAATGCGAGTGGGCTCCACCAAATCGGCTCCGGTACGGCGTGATAGGTGCCTCTTGCGACATAAGACCGTTGAGAAAAGTGAGTTGCATCGAAGGGAAGGCCTTGCTGCTCGAAACCCACAAGCGGCTCCATCTAGCAAAATTGTAAGCCAATGCCGCCTGCCCCAGATAATAGCGCTGAGGGAAGGACTCAGCTGTTGAGGGAGCGTATGAGCGACTGTTTGCTCGTTCTCATTGGCTCGAATAGCAGCGACTTTTGCAAAGGCGACCAGTGGACCACCTTCTGCTACAGTCGCTGCAAGGACGCCCTGCTCTACCAAGCCGACCAAGAACATGTCGAGCGTTCTGAAACCCCCAATTGCTTGAAAGTGGACGTCTAGGCCTGCCTCTGCATACTTTGCATCATCTAGAATATAGTTGCGCAGATTACTTGCATGAGGTGCCGGTGCTAATGCGGCGTGAAAGGAGGCATCGTCATAATCTGGTTGCTCACGGCGAAAGGCTACAGCACAAAGCACGAAAATCACTAGGTCGAACAGCGTTGAACAATATTATTTCACCGTCCATTGCCGCACCTCCATCAGACACTGGATGCTGAGCTCGTATCGAGATAGTTAATTGGGCTAATCACTCGCCCATATCTAGATGGTGTTGGGATGTAAGTCGGCAAGCACATTGCTATGCCTTGTGCAGTACAGCTGGAGTACCGAGAAAGCTGCTTCAGCAAAGGTGGAACTCAGTGCGAGTTGTTCATCGAGCGATTCCAGAATCTCGATCAGCCGACGCTGAACCAGGAGAAAACGGCTACTACAGCCGGTCAGACCTTGCGAGATTCTCGTTGCGCTCAACAAGGACTTGTTGTCGCCTCGAGGGCCTTCAAACGAACTTGCCTGGAAGAATTCCCCGATGAGCTCCTCATCGCGATTGCTCACCAGAGACTCCCCCGTCGATTGCATCGCATCACGGTTAGCTTATCAAAGTATGATGCACCTGAAAGGGTGAGGACAGATGCCTTGACCACGAATCGTTTTACACCGTAATTTATACCGTATTTCGGCGCCGACGTGCGCTTGTATGCAGTACTACCGGCGGGCATACTTCGAGCCGAAGGCAAGAAGATAAGCGGGCGCAACGCGTAGGAGCAAACCATCGACCAGAAGAGCTTGGATGCGTGTAAGTTCAAGAGGACGAGCAGAAAGGTAAGAAAGTGGATCTGCTGCACAGGCTGCTGTCAGGGTCAGTATAGCAGCAGTACCTGACAATGGCCTGCCAAAAAATTGCGGAAAGCCCTCTGTTACTACGACCCTGACCGGAGGCCGCAAAGTTAAAATACACTGATCTGAAGGAACATAGACACAGCTTCGCCAAGAGGCATCCCATCTTTTTCGCGGGTTGATTTGTTTTTCGAAGTACTTCGCACGCGAATAATTACAATTTCTGGGGCTCCCCTCTGAAGCCCAACTGTTCCACAATACATATTATGCGAGGAAGCCGCGGAAGGAGGAAGCCCATTTAAATGCGGACGCTGCTGCCTGCTCCACGCTTCACAGCGAACCGGATCTCCCTCTCGAGGTTTCCGAAGCGAGCTAGGCAGATCGTCCGTTTCTTCTCTTCAGATATAGTACTTTCGAGGACATAGACAACGGCTTCAACTTCCCCTTGGTGCACGTACATCGAATATTCGCCAATATGGAATCCGTGATCCAAGCTTTTGGTACTCGTACGATATCCGGGGTCGTCGATTGCAATTGCAGAGTCCAAGGTTTTGGCACATATGGAATTTGGGGTGGAAGGTTTCGATTGCGGGGTCCATGTTTTCGGCACCAGTGCGACCGGAGAGAGATCCGGGATCCACGCTTTCGGCAAGTATCAAATCCGTGGTCCGCACTGTCGAGGCTTATACAGATTCCGGGAGGCGTGGTTTCAAAACCGGTGCTCACAATTGCAACGCCACGGTCCATGGTGTCGCCACGGATAGATTGTGGTCACCCGAGGTCCAAGGGTTGAATACTTGCGCCTCTGCCCTGCTCTCAACGCTTTGACGCGGGAGCAGTCCGAGGCTTGGACAGATCTTACAATTGGCCTGTTCTCGCCGCTGCACTGCAGTTCTTCTCCCCGAAGCAGTCTGTAACCCCCACCTTCCGTATAGGCAGGAATCCAGTGGCCCATGTTTTCGAGACTGAGAACCTGGGGTCCAAGCTTTCGGATGCCACAAGGAAACCCGGGGTCCACACTTTGGTTATTCTCCTATTCTTTAGGCTAGCTGAGGTGGTCAGTCTCAGAACAAATCCATGCTGATCGCCTTCGGCTCGGTAAAGCGCGTTCTTGCGGGATGATGGCGAAAGAACTGGAAGATGAAGCATGATCATGAATGAAGAATCATGATGCGGCGATGGGCGCGCGCAAGCTGTCAATTCCAGTTGATGTCGAGGAGACAAGCCTAGTAAAAAATGGAAGTCTGGCGGGCAGTGTGTCCTTCAACCATCAATGCATCAACTGTGGCCTCCGACCCATCTCTTATCCCCTATTTTTTAATTATTCCTTGGAATGTGCAAGTGCGCTCTCACTCGTGACGCCATCAGGGTGCACCAACGAGATCTGCGATTGATCGCCTCCGAGAGGCGTGATTGTAAAGTACACGTGACTTGTTTTCAGCAAGTCATTTCAAACTTGAGAGCACTGCCAGAGGACTGTCCAGCTCCGACGCGCAAAGCGTGTCTGTTGCTGCTGGTCTGCTGAGAGATCTCTCGAAGTCGCTGCTTGCCCCATCTCGGCTTTAGAGGCGCGCTAATCTTGTGCTTGCGAATCATCTCCAGCTCCAATGACAGCATCAGCAGATGCGAGCCATTGGATAGCAGCCTCGTCGGGCGCATGATCATGGGCGCGGAAGTAAATGGCGAGGATGCCGGGGTGCTAACGCAAGTTGTCAACGGCGCGGTCGATTCAGCCAACGATTGCGCTGACGCGGCGCTCTCATCCCCCCGCGCGGCTTGAGTCCACTTCAGGTCGTTCTGGTTGGGCTGGGCGCCAGAGTATAGATAAGGGTCGATGGCAGCGCTGACCATCTTCACCGCGCCTTCGCGTCCTCGCGGCCGAGGACATCCCTGCTTCCGCTCCGTCAGTCGGGGCGCGCCTTCTCCGTCCGACAAATGGCCGTTCCGTGCAACAAGGCCGGTGTGTTCAGCTGCGTCTCGTTCCAACCTCGCTGCTGTCCATGCCAGGTATGAGAGATCAGGCGAGCTGTGCACTGACTTGAGCCCAGCGATGGGGTGCGCCCTCGCAGTATTGCGCGTGTTTGCTCCGGTACGCCGCGAAGAGTGTGATGCACGGCCTCCTCCAAACAGCCCGACGGCACACTGCCGAGAAGATGGTGGCGAGAGCTTGCGGCCACCGCGCATGCTCGGGATCTCCTGCTCATCCAGCAGGCCGGATATCGGCGAGAGCTCATCGTCAGTGCAGTGTGATGTGGTATTTCCTACTGCTGAATGGAGAGACATAGTCAGAAGGGAAGTGTTGCTGCAGTTGCTGGTATACGAGCTACGGAAAGTCTCCAAGTGTACAACCGATGAAAGCTCCACGTCCGGGTCGCTGGGCTCGCCGAGGCCAGAGACGTACGCAGACGCAGCAATGTCAGCCTCGAGCGGCGTCATGACGCCACGCCCATCCGCGCTTCCGACACTATAGGAACGCCGGCCACGGATGGCAGCATTTCGGAGGCACTTGCTGCTGTCGGATATGCTGCCGCTTGCAGCTGCGGGTAAAGGAGAGTGCGAAGGCCGGTTCGACATGGACAAAGACTGGGTATCGGTGGCTTGCAGCGCGGCATCTTTGTTCTCCTTGGATAAAGAAGACGATCGCCCTGCCGTTTGGTCTCCTAAAGTGCTCGCTGTTTGAGCTTCGAATGCAGATACGTTGAGCAGCAGGTTCGGCAGCCGAGCGAGCTGGCGCAGTCCGGCGCTAATCAGGCTGGACGAGGGCGTTGGTGCCTGATCGTGCAGCATAGATGCGGCTGCACTGTCCGTAAAAGCTGAAACCCTATTCGTTGAGCTCGCCGAGGAGGACAGGGACCAGACACGCAGTTGGCTCTGCAGCGAAGAGAGGCGCATGGCATACAATGAAGCAAAGCCGGTCCTGCGGTCTGTGGCTGATGCGGAAGTCGAGGTTTCGCTAGCAATCGGGCGCTTGGAGGGTGACGTCCCTCGCGGGGTGGAAGACGCCGACGACTGATTACTCTGAATGAACTGGGGCGATTCGACCACAACGAGGTCTTCGATGCTGCCGACCTGCCCACCTAGTAATGGATCTTCAGCCTCGTCGACGGGGATGGACATCGACTCGCGCCGTAAGCTGGGCTGACTCGGAAGAGACAGCAAGGAGCGAGCGTCAGTGCCTAGGTCCAAGCCCAATCCCAGGCCCACGGGCTGCGGCGATCCATCACCCTCAGCCGCAACAGACGTGCTTCGAGACGCCACAAGAGGCAGGTCCTGAGCGAGTGCCGTTCCAGCAGGTGCCTCTGATGGGAGTTGCTGGGGAGACAGCGGCGAGGGCGAGCTTGGTTCATCCAAAAGCACTCGCAGATCTTTGCGGCGCTGGCGCTCGAGAATACGGAACGAGCGCCGCAGCTCCTCGGCGTCACGAGCTCCGGCGCCTTTGGCGGCTGCCACCTTGGAGTTCCGCGAGCGCGAGCTCTTGAGCGAGCGACTGCGCGAGGGCCTGCCGTGGGCGGGAGTGTGATGCGCTGCTTCTTGGTTCAGGTCGGTGGAGGACGTGCTGGAAATGCTGCGTGTCATGACTGCGGCAGACACATTTGCCAAGCCGCGCAGTGTGGCGCCGATGCTCTTGCGCGGCGGCGACAGAGAGCCGTCGCCGCCGCAGCCAGAGCGCGGTAAGCTGGAGAGCAGCGAGCCAGAGGCAGCGACGGACGTGGATGTGGTAACAGTAGAGTAGGAGCGCGTTGCCGAGTCGTCTGCGAGCTCGCGTTTCTCAGCGGCGTCTCGTTCGCCGTCGCTCCTGAAAAGTGAATCATCGTCGATAGTTCCTTCCCGCTCAACTCGTTCTTCGTCGTCGTCACTGCTGGCGCTGTAAGCGGAAAGCTTGCAGTCACCTTGCCGGAAAGCAGGCCCCACGTCGTAAAAGTCGTCTGGGGCACGCGGGCTGGCGCGCAGGGAGGTGCGCTGGGCATGTTCCAAGCTGGTTCCGCCCCTGTCCGCTCGCACACGCTCGCTGCTGCCTCGCCGCCAGCGGCCTCGCTGGACGACAGCACGGTCATCGCCGGCCACCTCTGCATCGGCAATGAGTGCATTTAGGCTGCCGCTGCGCGGAGTCAGCGTGGTCAGATCCGCATGCTCGACAGCTCCCCACGCGGTGACACGGCCGCGGGTACTCCTGCGCGCCGAGAAGGGGTGAGAAATCGAGTTGTCGCTGCCGTGGCTCTTGCTTCGCCTCTCACGGACCTTGCGGGAGGAAGCGCAGGCGTATGTGGTGCTGCTCACATCTGAAGCAGTGGCGGACTGGGAAGCAGAAGCGGTAGTGCTCTTGAGTGTTGGAGAGGGGGTACTGCTAGTGGCAGCTGCAAAGCTGCCCCGCCTGCTGACGGGTGTGGCAGCCCCGATCGCATTCGGCAGAGGGATCTGCTGGCCAAAGATGCGATAACCTATGCCGTGTGCCTTGCGCCTCGCCTGCCATCTTGCGAGCTCGGCCCTCAGCGCCAGATCCTCGTCCGAGGGAAGCAGCCGATGCGACGCATGCGGTTGTCGCCCGCGCACGGGAAGCTGCGGCGACGAGGCCGAGGAGGAGAGACTTTGATCGGGCGAGGCGATGGGTGATGAAGTAGGTGAGGTGTTGGTGGCGGTGGAAAAAGAAGGCGCCCGCGTTGGTTTGGTGATTTCGAGAAAAGTTGAGCCGGCGGTGCCACCACTGCTAGTAACAGCTGCGTTCCAGCCAGCTGACGAAGAGCGCTGCGGACTCGTCTGGGGAGTGGAGGACCCCGTCGAGGGATTCGACCGCGGAGAAGAGGCATCTGCGCGCCTGAGGCTGGAGGCAAATGCATCCGCTGCAGCCGGCGCATGAGAGTCCCACCGATTCGATGTGCGACGGGCAGAGCGTGAAGGAGTGGAACTTGAGCAGCTCGAGGCTGCTGCCTGCTCGGCACTCGCGTCTCCAAACCCCTGCGCATCGCCGCTCGCATCTCTGTCGTCCTCGAAGAAGAAGTCCGTGTTAGGCCCGAGCGTCGGTGCGGCGGGTCTGAATGGCTTCCATTGGTGTGGCTGCTTGCCTGTGTGAGCATGCGCTGCTGGCTGCCTGCGAGTGGCGGAGAGGGACGAAAAGGGCGGACCCATCGCGGTGGCTCGCGGCCGCGAGGCAGGCCATGCTGCTGCCTCGCTGTCCATGATGCCGACGAGACTCGAGATCCAGGGCAGGCTGCGTGCCGATTACCAGGTCACAGTCACGCGTGGTCCTGTGATGGACAAGCGCGGCGAGCACAGTCAGCCAGCAGCTCGGTGGGGTGGTGTGCAGTTGGGGACCCTCCGAAAGGGAGGTGCTGTTTTGTTCCTCGTTTGTTCTCGCGCGGTGCTCGCTCCCATCACTTACAGGACCACTCACTGGAAAGATGTGAATGATGCAGGCTTTCCCTCAGATTGGCCTCACTCGATCGAAACGTCCCTCTTATGAAAGGGACGGTGTTTGCTGCGGGGAGGTTGGATGAGCGATGAGGGTTGCGCAAATGAAATGCGACCGTGTCCAGAGCCCCAACAAAGGCAGCGCAGAGTGTGATACAGTGCCTCGTCGCGTCCCCCACCACAGCCCTACCCAGCAAACGGAGTGACCTCAGCCACCACCTTGGCCAATGCGCGTGATGCAGTTTCCACTTTCCACGCCAAGGCCGACGAGAGACGAGGCAATGTGCAGCTTTCCGCCAGACCGGCGCACCCGCCGGCGCCTGGATTGCTCATATCTGTGTGGCGGAGATGCCAGTCACCAGGACGGGACACAGGGCGCATTCTTGGTGTAATCGTCGTATGCATGCGGCCCATGCACGCATGCATACGTGCATGGCATTGGGCACCGGGGATTTTCGCCTTACACTCCCCCTCTTTTCGGGCAGCAAGACGGCGCACTGGGGGTGTTTCTCACGTGACCACACGTTCACAGCCTACAGGCGGCTTACAAATCGTGGCAAAACTGATAGAAAGCGGGCCCA